TGCTGGACACTGTCTCTTTGCCTCCTTCTTCCAAATCTCATTTTATTCATGTGCAGAACTTCTGCTTTAAAAATATCTATATAAATACAAATTATTAACATTATTGTTGTTATAACCAGATTCATTTCAACCAACCAAAGTCTGAGTAGAGGCAGCCACCTCTAATCAGATTTCGCGCCTCCTCCCGCCAAAATTCTAGAGCTGGTTTTCAAGGAAATCATATCTGGATTAGAAAAGCTGTGATAATTTAGTTTGTTGTGTTTTAATGAATACACTGTGAAGAGAATTTACTAGTTTGTTTGTTTATTGCGATAATTGTCGTTTTGGTCATTTCGTCAACGCCCCCCTCTGGTTTGATGGCTCAGGACCACCCCCGCCTGAATTTCAGTCAGAAAAAACCCTGAGAATGTTGTTGAATAAAAAACCTCCTCTGACCCGGATCCCTGAACCTCTGAACCAAAGTTAACGACCTTCCCCTTTAAAACCATTAATATTCTTCTCTGGACCAAAGACCGACCGACCACACCGCTCACGTCACAGAAAAGAAAAGACAATCTCCTCGTCTGCAGCTCAACTCTGTGACTTCGCTGTCGTAAGAAGACTTTAATGTCTATAAATGATGTTTTCTCTCTGGCTCCGACGCTCTGATCTTGTCTGATCTTATCTTGTGTTTGTATTTCAGCACTGAGCCCGACTGCACTGAATTACAAGTCCTGTAAAAACACGACAAGCGAACGGCTGAACCGCCTAAAAGGTTTGTGATTATACAATTTATAGCACTTTGCAGAGTGAAATGCATTGTGGGTAAGGTATTTCATCACAGCAGGAAAAACAGGTTCTAAACATCAGCTGTATGTGTTTTGTCTCTTGATGGACATATTGTTTTCAAAATCAAATATTTAATCAAGCTCCATGTTTATGACTGAAGACTCGACACAGTATTTACTGTCTCTTGGTTCAACATCACTTGAGATTTGGTACCAGCCATAAACCAGATGATGTAATGATCCAAATACAGAATCAACGCTCTCCGCCAATTCACCATTGTGTCATGAAGAAGACAGAATGATATCCATCACCCCGGAGGAGGACAACATTGACAGCCATGCATTAGACATTTAATTGGGAAATATTCTGCAACTTAACGTGACAGATGAAGCGTAATCATGAGTGACAGGTATTAATGTTGGTGTTTGCCTGGTATGAAATCACGCTGTGAACCCTAATCCACAAACACACGCTGAGTGTCCTCATGACAAAGCCACCACCAGCTCCAGAGACAGACACCTACACAACCGCACACACGTCGCACAGGATTAGCCTCAGCCGCACACAGCCACCGATGATGACATCATCAATAATACAACATGCAAAGCTCCACCAGCAGCAGGAGCGAAGAGGTCGACTCTTCACCTCCGCCAGAGAAGTTTAAAAAAGAAAGTACAAAAATAAAACCACACTGACAGTGAATAACCATGAGGGCCGATCCTCGCCATTAGCCAGAGTCACACACACACACACACACAGCTTATGTAACATCATGTCGTCTGTCCAGTTTGCAGAAAGCACCATTGACTGAATTCAATCTGTTGATATACACACACCTATATACACGTACACACACACACACACACCTATATACACATACACACACCTATATATACATACACACACCTATATATACACACACACACACCTATATACACATACACACANCATACACACACCTATATATACACACACACACACCTATATACACATACACACACCTATATACACATACACACACCTATATATACACACACACACACAGTATACACATAAAATATATGTAGAGATATACATATTATACAGATGCAGTGTGTAAAAACAAACAGTGAGATGTATACACATATATCATGTAATGAGTTGTGAGTATATACAACTCATATATGTATAACCGTGCATCCATCACACGGCTCTTTGCTGCTGGTAAATATGAAGCTGACGGGAGTTTGAGATTTGTCCGACCAACATGAGGACGATCAACAACAGAATGAGCCTGGGGGAAAAAAAGATGCTGATGAAGTCACCTCTGACATTAAAAGGGTTTATCTGTTTCCTCGCTTTAATATCCCCACGGTTCCCTGAGAGAAACTTTGGCCTAGAAGCCTAAAATTCAGTATATGTTCTTGTTTATCAATGAGCAGGTTATTTAAAGAAAATGTGTGATTTATAATTATATTTCCATTATATTTATTATAGCGTGAGAAGGGAGGTCAAAGGTCAAAGCCTCAGTACAGGGACAACTGCTCATGTACAACTAACAACAACAATTTTTCTGATTGATTTAAACGTCACTTATCTTTTTCAATTCATTGATTAATCATTTGTCTCTAAACGTTTGCAGCGAAGACTTCAATCATACTTTTTTCTCCAAAACCAAACAACCATCAGATAAATATCACGTCAAACATCTGAGAAACAGGAAGAGGGAAATGTTGAGAATACAACTATAAATTAAAAGAGGAAAAACTCAATCAATAATCGAAAAATTACAGATTTAACCAACTGATTTGTGTTTTAAAACAAAGAAATAATGAGACAAAGAAAGATGTTTCTGATCAGGAGCCACGAGCTGAATGCTTTTGAGTGGAACTGTGTAAAAATGTCTGTTTATCGACCTGCAGCCACTTTCACACCCTGTTAAAGATACGAACCCCCCCAACAAAGACGAGCAGCGCTGCACTCACAGATGGTTTTCAAATACATGAAGAGGCTCCAACCCTCAAAGCCGTTTCATAACTGTAAAACTAGCCACCGAGGCGGTATGCTGTCCGGGAATTACACCCGCAACTTTGCTATTTAATGTGCCTGTGCTCAGCCAACCCCGTCAGAGGAGGCGGGCTGAGGTCTCGTCTGGACCCGGGACAGATTCAGATGGTTTCCGTGTGGGCAGACGAGCCGCTGGCAGAGCTGCAACGAGCCGAGATCTCCTCGCCACTCACACAAAGACAAACTGGAAGCACAACTCACCACATTCAGTTTCTGAGGAGCTGGAGAGTTCAGCTTCCACTGCCGTCTCCTCCGTCCCCTCCTCTTCCTCCTCCTCCTCGTCATCCTCCTCATCCTCTTCCTCATCCACCTCCTCTTCCTCGTCCTCAGTCTTAGCCTGGCTCTCCTCCCTGCCCTGCACTTCCTGCTGCGTCTCCCCCGCTTGCACCTCCTCTGTCTGACAGTTGTGAGCGGGTCCTGTTCCCAGCTCCCCCCCCTGGCTCAGGGAGTAGTTGTGCTCCTCGCTGCAGTGCTCCAGAGCCAAACCTGCCGCTGCCACAGCAACCGCCTCCTCTTCCTCCTGTGCCACTTGATACACCTCCACTGTACGCTCCCTCGACATCCCCCCATCCTGACCTCCTCCGGCCGCTCTTCCTGCGACACATAACTCCCTCCCTGTTGCCGTGGTAACAGATAGGCGCTCCTCCTCCCTCCCCGCAGCTGGGGCCTGGACTTCCTGGGTGACTGGAGGCGTTGTGTGTCTGCCGCTCCTCCTCCTCCGCTCCTCTTCCTCTTCTTCCTCCTCCCGGCTCCTCCCCCAGCGGCCCATCAGGACGGCCTCCTCGGAGCAGGCCAGCAGCTCCCCTCCCACGCCGAGGCCCAGCTTGGTGTAGCGAGCCATTTCATCCAGCGACGACACGTCCCAGCGCTCCGGATGCAGGTCCTCGCCAAAGCCACCGTCGTCCACCAGGTCGCTTAGCAACTCAAAGGGCCGTTTCCGTGGCGATGCCGGGGAGCCCAGCATGAGGAGCACGCTCTGAAGAGGACAGACGTACCGTGTATTAAATATAAAATTTAATTACGGTTCATTTTCCATTTCACAAATAGAAGAAATTTCTGTCTCAAGAAATTTGCGTCTCCATCTCGTGCTGTCTCACCTGGTCGTACTCGGTCCTGCCCCCTTGTGGCGACATGGCCAGGGGGTAAGGGCTCAGCAGGCCCCTGTGTCCCCCGTAGGCCTCGCCAAACACAGGCTCCATCCCATTCATACCCGGCTGAGAGGGAGGAAACACACACACACACACACACACATACATACTGTGAGAAAAACGAATCAGAGGCGACAGGCGAGATCAGCTGCGGTTTCAGCGACACTCCTACTCTACCTGAGGCATGCCCGAGGCAGGAGTGTGTCAGGTCGTGGTCACAACGTCACTTCAAGTGGGTTCTGCTGCAAAGAACACAATCAAGCTCAAATCTGAACATAGAGACCAAACAGGAGAGAACAAGGGAGACGAAAAGATGGTTCAGTACAAAAGGACAGCAGAAAACAGAAAGAGGACAGGGGACGAGGAGGAGGCGGCCACTTACCTATGGTTGAGAGCTGTGAGGGGTCAAGGGGTCGAGCTCCTCTCACATGTCGCAGCCCGGCAGCTCTCGGCCTCCCAGCCTGGAGGAGGGACAGCACATGAGGAAGTCAGACACAGATTCAACGACAACAGTGAAAACTCAACAACAAACCTACGAGTTATTGATGGAAAACATTTCACAGGAGTAATTAAAGAAATTCTGTTCCGTTGATTTGTTTTACTTGTCGTGTTAGTCAAGTGAAACATTAATAAGGCTGAAGCTTTTTTGTTTGTTCAGCTTATTGTTGATTACATTAGCTGGCCAGCGTTTCTATTAATACATCCATTTATCTAACATGAAACAACATGCAGAGGCTGCTGCTGCCAGAAATGTAGGACATATCACTTTCTGAGAAAAACCTGCCAACAACCATTTCGCTGTGCGGAGCCCAGCTCATGCAGCTTTTGTGCGTTCAAAATGTGGTTAATTGCCATCTCGCGCTCGTGTCTACGTGTTGTTACGATCACAGGCTTCATCAGAAGACGGCTCTGGTGTTAAATTAGTTGGAAACTGCACGAGAAGCGCAGGAGGAAGCAAAGACAACAACGATAGATGAGCAAGAAGTTGAAAACAGAGGCAAAATCACAACAATCCCTAAAGTTAAAACTCAGAGGAGAAGAAAAGGGAGTTTTTCTCATGTATTGCAGAGTCCTGAGAAAAAGGGTGAAGGAGCAAAAGAGGAGGAAGCTGATATTCTGAAAGCTAAGCACAGGGTAAACTGAGCTACGCAGATTCCAACTATAGCGTCACTCAGTAGAACTGTCACCGTATTTAAACATGTCTCCATAGATCCAGATTTTTATTTACTCGATTTTTTTTTATAGTATTATAATATTACTTCACTGAAAATTGAAGAATACGTTTGTGTTTAAGAAAAGGCGACACAATGATACACATCTGATGTTCGATTTCCCAAAGTCTTGAGACTCAGAATAAAACAGAGACTCCAAATAAAACAGCGCCAGACTTTGGGACCCAAAGAATACAGATTTCCCGAATGAAAATCACCAGCGTGCACACGTCACATTGTTTCCTGAGGCGCTGTACATCGACCTGCTGCAACTGATGCTAACGTGTCGTCATCATGTCAGGTCAGAGGTCACGTGAGGACAAAGAGGATCGAAAGGCCGATGACCCAGTTTTCATTCACATGGACTTATATTCAATTTAACTACTATTTTTAATCTTTTGTAACTAAACTATGCCATTTTAAAAAAATCATATTGGGTTGTGGAGATTGGAGCGAGTATTTCCAGCAGCAGGGAAAGTGTTTAAAAGCAGTTTATGAACTCTGGAAAAAGTCTGGACCCAATTGTCTGGATATTCTCTGATTGTCCGACTCGTTCACAACAACAGGAACATGTGTGGGACATTCGGGCCAGGGGTGGAGCCTGCAGAGCAGCAGGAGGCGGGACATGACGTATAAATTGTGCTCTGGAAAGATCAGTGGCGTCAACCAAAAGATCTGGAATCTCCTCGTGTTTCCAAGTTGACGTCTTCGTCTTCTACGTGTACGACTCCTCTTCTTCATCCTGAGAGACTTCCAGTTTCACGTCCGTCACGTGTCGGACATTTCCCTGTTGGATTCTCATTCTCACTTGGACTCACTCCGAAGAACTCATTCTCACATGCAGCCCCTCCGGATAATTTCAGGAGAAAGTCCGCAGTAAGGTGAATGTCTGAAAGCGGCAATAACAAACTGCGAGTGTGTGTGTTCATGAAGGAGCCAAACAGATAATATAATATTGTACGAGTGACTCACTGACTTGTTTTGAAAGGTTTTTAGCTCTGTGGCAGAAGAATGAGCTGCATCAGGATTTGGATTAACTAGTTCGAGGGAATTAGTTCATTGGAGTTTTAATCTGTCGACAATGAGGAAAGAAGAAAACGCAGCTTCATCCTTTAACCTCGCCGACTTGTCCTCCAAAGAACCGCTTCTTCCACTCCGCCCAATACGGTTAAACTCAACCAATGAGGTAACTCCTGCTCACGGTGGAGCTCTGCATCGGTTAACATTTGTGAACCCCCCCCCCCAAAAAATAATCAAATTCTGCCTCAGTGAGAAGGAGAAGAGGAGGAGGAGGAGGCCACAGAGCAAACTGCTGATCAGACCAGGCTCCTTTCAGACGGGGACATGATGAAACACAGAGCAACACACACACACACATACACAGAGCAACACACACACACACACACAGAGCAACACACACAGCAGAAACAATGCAGACTCACTGTTCAGTACCTGCGGAGAGAAAAACCAGGGGAATCCAGTTCACGCTGGCCCGGTTTAGTGATCGGAGAACAATGTCATAATGCGTTCTGTGTGGACTGACCTCAGGAACACAAGAATGAGGAAATGAGGACTCGCAGAGCAGTTATGACACTGCCTTGGCGTGCCACATGGAAAACTGGTATTTGGCACGGGGAGAGTGACAGCCAGCTTCCAACATACTGTGTATACAAACACTGATCCGACACGTACAGCGTTCTCAACTCGATAAACTGCTGGAACGAAGGTAGAGACCCCGGCGAGCTGAACAAACGCACAAAGGTTTCCGCTCTTTATCAAGTAACAGCAGCAGTGCTGGGAGTTTACACAGAGGATGAGACTGTGTACATTTTATGTCGGTAGTTTGCTTGTACCAACTTGCTGTGGTGCCAGTTTCTGCTCTTATTCCACAAACAATTCTTATGTTTACACGCAGGATAAACTCTGATCAACGTTTAGTTCCGTCGGTTGTTGTTGTTCAAACACAAACGCACTCAGTTCAATGACGTTACATTTCACAGTTTCCTTAAAGAAACACTTTGAGACTCTTCTCGTCTTCACAAGGTAAATGAACGCAGTGAAAGCAACGCAAACACATTCTTGTGTCTGTTTGCTCACACTCCAGCTGATATAGGAGCCCGGCATGGTGGAACAACAACCTTTGTGTTGGTTCAACATAAGGCTGGGCCTCACACACACACACACACACACACACA